GATTAGCCAATCAAATTGTAAAATTCATAAAGTAAAAAAAGATAGAAGGCAGGTGTTTAATCTACTTTGGATTACTAGCAGAAAATATTAAAAGAGCTATTTTATCTATAAGCTTACTCTAATCTTAACATAAAACTAGCTCCAATTCTATTTAATTACTTTGTCTTAGATACACTTTCAAATAAAAAAATTTAAAAAATGTATTAATAATATTGGTTCAATATATATATAATTCCCATATTATTACTGATTTTGAAAAAGTGATAAATTAGTATTCAATTTTGTGAATTGAAGCATAGCAGAAGTTCGTTTTGATTGGTTGTTAAGATACCCCAGAAAAATGTTGATCATACCCCAAATAGAGTACCGGCTAATCCTGGACAAAAATTTTATAACTTTTGAACTTTTAAAAAAGAATTTATTTAATATTCACCAGTGGTGAAATTCACCATCCTAAGAGTTTTAGGGTTAGGGTGCAGTTTTAGGATAAATAAGGAGCTTTATATAACATAATGTAGATTAGATATGAGGTCCCGATTTCAGTTTTCGTGGGGTCCTGACCATTTTCCCTAACTTTATTTACTTAGTACTTTTTTGAAATACAGCACCCCCGGTGAATTTCACCTCTGGTGAGAGTTAAAATCGTCCAATAAATAAATAAATAAAAATTTTAAATTACCAGTAAGGTGTTTATGACAATGCATAGTCGTTCATATTAAATCCCATCCGTCTATCAGCATCGACCAATCAGAATCAGGACAGGTATATCATGTATTAATTGGTCCGGAGCGTAGCGATGGATCATTAGTATTTATGCACAGTAATACAAAAGTTACGTTTTTGATACATTAAGCCACCAGGATTTACCTTTTTGATGCAGCACGTAAACATTATGAAGATCACATCAGAAATGTAAGTTTGAAATTTTTTGTCTGTCCGCACGTGTAGTTCAAATTTGTAATTTAGCTTACGCGTTTGTGTTATATGATGATCGTCATGTGCCCAGACACAATACTACGCCGAATTAGTCAGATTGCAGATCGAAGCACTACCCAGAAGTAATTTTTGCCAATTCACCGAATTCATCAAATTTATCTTATATTAAAAGGGGCGTCACAGGAAAAATAACCACAAAGGTATTATCTGGAAGTGGAATTTGATGACCAACTATGTTCAGTAGGCTTCTGGGCAAGAAAAAAAATAAAAAGCAAATATTACTTGTAATTGCAAGACATTGTGATAAAGCGAACTGTGTCAGTAAATCAAAAAATATATAAGGTGAATAGGGGTAATTTGGCAAATATGGGTAATTTGGCGAATTGGGAATAATCGAAGATATATCGTGATCCAGTGATCGGATCCGAACAATTTTTATACCATTCAAATCCTCTCATTGAGAGGATTCGAATGGTAAAAAAATCGTTCGGATCCGATCACTGGATCACGATATATCCTCAATTTATTTCAAATTCGCCAAATTACATCTATTTATAACCTATATATGAATTCTTTCCTAACTTATATGGGTCTTTGCCTTGAAAATAACCTTACGGTATCATATACCGTAAGATCATTTTCAAGGCAAAGACTTCATATCATGACAAATATGCGATTTGGTACGCGAATAATTTCATGTGACCAATGTTACTACAACTTCTATACACACCGATACCATAATTTGCGGCAAATAGTACCCCGGGTCTCTTACATTCCTAGGCCTTAAAAATTGATTAGTACCCTCCTTGGGACCATCAATTGACTATATAATTTGACTAAATTGATACACAATTGACTGTGGGTGGGTACTTTAACAAGGGGGTACTATTTGCTGCAAATTACAATAAATACTAGCAAATTTTCACGCGTCACATTATTTAGTCCATTTTATAAATTTTTATTTTGAAACAATTAATTTAAACATGAAACAACCTTCCACTAAAAGAGGTGAGGCAATCAACGCTGCGCTTAAAAAGTTAAATGATTGCCCTCCTGGGTCCAAATCTTCAAGTATAAATAGCTTGGCAAAAGACTTCGGTCTTTTGGAAACTGCTCTTCAACATGCAGTTAGTAATGGTGGTCCCTCTAAACATCCAGGTGCACCCAACGTTCTCACCAGTCATGAAGAAAACCAACTAGTTGGCTATTATATTAACATGCAAAAGCTCGGGTTTGGCTTAACAAGAACCAGAGTCAACTATTGTATAATGGAAATTATGAAATTAAATAAACGATCACATCCTTTTGGGGAAAATGGGCCAGGTCAAGACTGGTGGGAATGTTTTATGAGAGACCACCCAGAGTTATCCTTTCGTGTTCCTCAACAATTATCAGAAGCAAGAGCACAAAAAGCAAATAAAACTGTTGTTGATGATCATTTTAAAAAACTTAACCAAATTATTAATGAAAATTCTCTTAATGTGGCACAAATATGGAATATGGATAAGACTGGATTCACTATTGTGCCTGTATTAGAAAAGGTTTTAGCAAAAAAAGGCTCACGTCAAGTGCACAAAATTGCACATGGAAATTCACAAGAACATATTTCAGTTGCGCCCACAATTTCAGTAGCTAGAACTTATATTCCACCTTTAATAATTTATAAAGGTGTTCATATGATTCCTGGTTTACTTGACAGTGTACCACCAGGAACCGTAGTGGGTTTTACAAGTATGGGTACATGTGTGAAGAATTATTTCAAATGTATCTTGATTATTTTATTCATTCTATTCCTTCTACTCGACCAGTATTACTAATGCTAGATGGTTACACGAGTCATATCAATTATACATTGGTTGATTTTTGTCGTAACAACGGCATTCTTCTTTATGCACTCCTGCCCCATACAACCCATGTCTTGCAGCTGTTAGAAATTCCTTTCGCAGCACTAAAAAAGAATATAGCAAAGGGTGTGAAAAATACAGTAAAGAAACTGATGGCATGATAGTAACAAAATGAACTTTTGCAAGAGTTTTTGGTTTTACCTTCCTTGAAACGTATTTACCAAAAGCTATTTGTAACACCTATAAAGCGACAGGAATTTGGCCCTTTAACCCAAATGCTATTAGTCCTGACCATTTAAACCCATCATTAGTAACCGAACAGTTTAATATCTTATCTACATATAATCAACCTCTCATACTAGCTAAACTATCTTCATTGCCTCAGATATCTACTAATTCAAATCATTTTCATTCTACTTGCTGGAATCTTGACCAACTAAAAGAAGAAAATATAATGCTTAGGAATGAAAATAATTTATTAAAGTTTCAACTTTCTACAGCAAAAGAGGAGCTAGATACTTACAAAAATCCAGGAACATGCTCTCTATGTTTGGTTTTAAAGTATCCAGCTTCTCGTATTCCAGTAAATTTACAACCAACTACAAATAATCAGACCAGATCTGATCAACCTCCACCAAAAAAAAGCTTTCTTTTTCTCAGCTCCTCGCTAGCGAAGAAAGTTGGCACCAATTAAAAGAGTTGAACAAGGAAGCAGAGCGTAAGTCCAAAGAAGCAAGGCGAAAAAAGAAAGTAGCAGCTCAAAGAAAAGCTGAACGGGAAGAGGCAAAAGCCCAAAAAAAAGCTGAACGTGAAAAGTGTTTGGCCCAAAAAAATGGAAGGCAAGTCCAGAAGACTCACAGAAAATAGAGAGGATGCTAAAAAAAAAAAAAAAGGAAAGTAAAAAATTTTTTTTTTTATCTTAGTAAGCGAAATTTGCCAAATTACCTCTTTGATTCTAAAATTCCACTTTTTGGTACTGTATTATAAAGCGGTGATTTTACCAATTTTGATGTTTGTCCTACCTTTTTTTTTTTAATAGATCTATTTTAAATATGATATAGTTTCGTGACATCAAATATCTAAAACTTTAAATGGGTTAATAAAAAGTTTACTTAACAGAATTGTTAACTTTGCCAAATTACCCCTATCTACCTTATGTATATGTTTTTGCTGTAAATACAACTCATTCTGAACTAATTGGAAAAATAGTATATTCTTTTATTTTTCCTCATGACTTTGCTTTAATCGATATAAAGAGAATGAATAATACGTTTAAGACTGTCATGGGCAAAAGGTGGATTTACAGAATTAGGCACAGTAAACTCATGATTGAAGGAGTAAACGCCATTGTAATTGAGACTAAATGTTTGTTCTAGCGGGCGAGACTTGTCAGCCGAATAAGATAAACAAACAAATGCAAAACTCAAATATCCAAAGAACAAGTACGTGTAGGAGAAAGAGAGAAAAGACAAAAAAATAAAGATATAATTGCAAGTGGCTATAATATAATTATTGCAATATGCGAAGCAAAGCCTTTTCTTTTATTATAATATGTTGTAATTATTATTGTAAGCCCCTACTTTAGAATTAGTTTCCAAATTTGTTAAAGGATGTAATAGCTTATTAATCCCTAAGCCCCATGAATTCTCTAGAATAGTAAAAGCTATAAAAGCACCGAGATTTCACCATTGTTAAAAGGACGTCCTAGGGATTCCAATATTTAATTCACATTGATAAATCCTTTTAATAAATTGTTCAAATAAATTTACCAAATTACCAACGTCACGTCTCTGGCAAATTGCCTTATAACATGCATATTGATGGATCTTCGTAATTATTATTAAAAATTTTACAAAGAATAACTTTTGACCCACCAGTTCATTTTAAATGATTTTACCATCAAAATAACTGTTGCAGTGGAACGATTCTAAAAAAACCTAAAATCATCAAAATCCAATCACTGAATCCTAAGAAAATTGCCGTTTTGTTTTCATCAGGTAAAATAGGATGGGTTAAACCCATCCTATTTACCCAATATAACCAAAACATTAGCGATCTCAGGATTCAGTGATTGAATTTTGATGCGGTCATTTTGATGGTAAAATCATCTAAAATGAACCAGTGGGTCAAAAGTTATTCTTTGTCAAATATTTTAAAATTTTTAATAGTAATTACGTAGATCCTATAAATCCTGTATTTTTGTTATAAATTATTAATCGTATGAATCACCCCGTAACAAGACCATCAACCGAAATAAAGAATAATTTAAATTCTCAACACGTTCAATTAATTATTAATGACGGTATATCTGTATCTAACCTGGTGTTCTTTTACCAATTTCTTGTGGTTATTTAGAAGCATTTAGTGGATTTTTAATATATGAACGTGGTAATATATTGAGTGAAGATTCAATCTTTATAGGCATGATGACATCTATTAAGGGCGATAGTGGAGGGCCTGCATTTTCTTTTTCAAGCTTAAGCTCGGAGACTTTAAAATAGTTTGAGAAGATTGAAGATCAAGGAACTCAGTGATATCTTCATGATAATCACATTACATGATTAAGTGTTCGGTCTACGTTAGGTACGGACTGCCTACGTACGGACACGTACCATATCACGGGATTTTGCACGTACCGAATATCACGTGACACCCAACATACAAGCTATCGAAGTTGAATTTTTTAATATTTGAACAAAATTTCTTGGCAACTACAGTATTTGATATAATTTTGCTAGATTTTTTTTTAAATCAACTCTAGGTATTAGTAAAATTTAATTTAAAAATTTCATCGAATTCTATGGAGCAGTTGATGAGACGCATCTTAAGAAAATAGCCGCGGCAAAAATTTTCTAAAATTTAAACAAAAAATTTCTCGACAAATATCTGATAGAATACGATGTAAATTTTTTAATAAAATAGTATAATTCATTTAAAAAAATTTCCACCGAATTCTGTTGAATATTTGTCAAGAAAATTTCATTTAAAGTTTAGGAAAATTTCTACGCAGCTACTTTAAGAGACTGCAGAAATTTTCTCAAACTTTGAACGAAAATTTCTCGACAACTCAACAGTATTCGATAAAAATTTTTTAAAAAATAAATTTGCTATTTTATAAAATTGATTTAAAAAAATTTCCATTGAATTCTATAAGGCAGTTGTCAAAAACTTTTTGTTTAAAGTTTAGAAAATTTTTGTCGCGGCTATTAGAAATCAAGAAATTTTCCCAAACTTTGAACGAAATTTTCATGCCAAATACTCAACAGAATTCGATGAAATTTAAATTCTATCGAATTCTTTGAGAGTTGTCGAGAAAATTTGTACAAAATTAAGAAAATTCAACTTAGATGGTTTACGTCGAGTGTCACGTGATATTATTTACGTGCAAATCATGTGATATGGTACGTGTCCGTGGACGGTCCGCGTCAGCGACACGGAAATATTATTTCGATTTAAGGCAAAAATTTCGATTTATTTCGATTGCTTCATAGTTGTCATTATATCTTCGCATTTTTTACCGGGATCTGCATGTGATCAGTATCAAAAAAGTAGGTGCAGGTGTATCAAAAATGAATGTTTTGCTTCCGTGAATGTTAATCACATGATAATTTTGTCTTGAGCCAATAATATCATTTTCATGTGATTTATTTTATATGTAGCTTTGTGCAAAAAATTGTGAAATTTTCGATTTTGGCAAAAAATTTTGAAAAATTGCTTTCAAAAAATTTCCGTGTCCCTGGTCCGCGTTAGGTAGGGATGGCTGGCACATGATTTAAATCACAATGTTATAAATCACTGATTTTTTATTCATAGCTGATTTAAATCTTTTATTACGTAACGTAATTAGAAGATAAAAATGGCAATGGTTTTTAAAAAAATTGCATCCAAAGATCGGTGTTTAAATTAAATATAATATAAAGTACTGGGAGGTATAATGGCGCAGGTGGGTAATGTAATGTGGTGCATTAAAATAATTCTAGGAAACAAGATTTTTAACAAATGAACCGAATTTCGTCTACTAAGTAAGGTTATTGGAAATGTCATTTTTTAGATACCTTCAAAATTTAATAACTTTTAATAATTAATCAACTTTTGCGTCATTCATCTTGAGCAAAAAATTTAGTTTTTGTATCAAAATGTATAACACAAAATTTGATTAATAAAAAGTTAACCAAATCACACCAAAATTTGATGTCTAAAAAATGACATTTCCAATAACTTTCCTTAAAGGGTGAAATCCCAATTTGCTTAATAAAAAATCGTGTTTTGTATTGAATAATTATTTGTTAAAGAAAATTTATGTTTATTATGTATTATAGTCAAGATATATATAATAATAGGGACGACGATCCGCCACATTACCCTCCCGATTTAAAATTTTCAATTTTAAACGAGTAATAAAATAACATGTTATTATCAAAGTTTTTTTTTAAATTTGATTAAAGTACACTGCGCCATTATACCTTATTACGTAATAAAAATCGATTTAAATCATCCATCTCTATCATTGGGTTCCTCGTTCTTCAAATGTCCCCCGGTATTTTTTACGACTTAGTCCTTTTAGTATGATATTATCATTAGATTTCAAACGTAATTTGAAGGTTACTTATAATTCTGGCCAAATTTGTAGATCGTCTGGCCAGATTTGAAATAGATCTGAGTTTGGCCAAATGATCTGCAAATTTGACCAGTGTTATAAGTAACAACTGAGACGTAATATAAATTGTCTCATGCTGAAAAATTTTTTTTTCTAATTTAAACCTTTTTTTAAGCTTGCTTTTGAATATTGTATTTTATAGAAAAATTCGGTCCAGTCTTACTCGACTCCAAAAGTAGGGATATTAATCTGTTTAAAATTTTACTAAAAACCAATAATTCTTGTAGTTTAATATGCTGTGTTTTATATTAAATTTTTAAATTGAGTCAAACGGTCGATTTTGGGAGAGCAGTCACAATATAATAATTTAGTATATCTATAATATGAGTTTATACTCTAATAATAATTAAATTTACTATAAACATTCTCAATACTAATATTAATAAATATAAAAAATTTAATATAGACTTAATAGTGCTAAATACTCAAATTCTAAAATAATTATGTGAAGCAAAGATTTAGGTAAAATCACACAAAAGTCCATCCACTGTTTATAATAAGAAGTCACACACAGAAATCTTTATTTATTATGAGAGGATCACGAAGAAATCTTCTAAATTCAATTAGTTTAAATCAAAAGGTCTTTTATATCTTTTTACAAGAATTAACTGAAGTTACTATTGACATATTTGAATGAATTACTTTAAATATTTTTTAAAGCATAATCTAAGATGCGTACTAGTCATAGCTTGTGGACATCTATTTTCATTTTCATATTATTGCCCGACCTTTATCTTCCAATAATTCACATCATACTATCCTCTATTTCTCAATGATATTTCAGAGTTACACAAATATACACAAAAACAATTTTTTTTTGGAAGAATCCTAACTTTTAGAATAAATATCCAATTACAGCAAATATAGCTACAATATATACAATAAGATCCAGTGGACTATTTCCAAAAAATAAAGTTAGTCACATGTTCGTATACCAAAATCACTGTAAAACCAGCATCTTACCGTATTTTAACTTCATTAGGTGTTTTCATAGGAGTTTTACTACGTATTTCAACAGTTGGAGCACAACCGACATTTTGCCATTCAAGTACTGAATAGTCGCTTTCTTTTAATGGAGAAAGTTGCGTATTTCCGTTTATTCTAAAGTAACTTGATGAGTTAGCCATTTGGTTTGAAGTAGATTTTCCTGAAGCGGATGCAACAACTTCGCGAATGAATTCAGCTGTACGTTGAAATGAAAATGAAGTTGATTCATGGCATCCTAATATCTACATTATTTATAAAAAATTTAATTACAGGATTTTTTTTGTTGCAAATATAAAGTACTCTAATAGGTATAATAAATAATATACCTGGAATACATGAGGCAAGTCTTCATAAATTTCAAGAGTGACATTTGTAGGTGTTTTAAATGGTGATATCTCAAATTTGTCAGCATTATAGATTGGCAATAAATACTTTGAAGGTTGACTGGCTTTGAATGCAAGATAAATAATCTCATCACGTAACCTCTCTTCATCACCCGCCGTCTATGGTATCATGTATAAATTATGCGACCGACTAAATTGACGTTTAAAGGGTAATGAGAATAAACACGTACCAACAACATAGGCGGCAATCCACCCAAACTTTCGGCACACAAAGGGCTTTACAAAATGAATTATTAAGTTAAATCAATCTGGGTTTATTTATACCTAAAATTCCGATCACTCTTACCTTATATAAGGAATTGATAAGGCCTCATTAGCGGCGTATTGTTGAACTCGAATTTCTCGTTCAAGGGATTTGTGCCATAATTTTGGTTTGTTTGATTGTTTTATTTTTTCAGAGAGTGCAGCGGATTTTTCGAGGTATTGGTTTTGAGCTTGAGAAGGAAGAAATTGTAAAGTAGAATCTGGAAGGTAATCGTATTTATCGCATTCTTTTCTTAAAATGGATGGCATACTGTGTGTCAGATCAACCCATGCCGACTAGGAAATATGTAAGAAATTTCATGATTAATATGATAATTTGGAATGTTAGCCAATAAAAGAAATTTATAGATGAGGACTAACCCAACCAACAGCACCGGCAACCATCGGCAAACCACTATCACGTAGTGCGAGTAAAGTAGCAATGGTAAGACCGCCCCCAGCACTATCACCCATTATAACGATCTGTTTAGGATTAATAGCACTGAAACCAGCATCTTTTGGCGGGTTAGTGAGATATAAATAAGCAGCTAGTGCATCATGCAGGGCTGCAGGAAATTGATTTTGTGGAGCTAACCGGTAATTAATAGCTTTGATTATATAATAAAAATTTTTTTGTTATATTCGGATTATTGTAGCATTAATACACATTAGATCTTAAGCCTTCTTTCTACTCACCGAAGACATGAGCATCGGCACCTTTTGCAATTTTCGAGGTGACGACACGATGAGATCCAGTACTACACATAATATAAGCACCACCATGAAGATACAAGATGATTCTTTTATCTTCTTTTTGCATAAAACCATTTTCTTTTGTGTAAATCCATTCAGCACTCATTTCTTCTAGATTATCAAATTTATTCCATTCATCATCAATCAAGTGTTCATACTCCTTCAATAATTTTTCAATG